GGCCAGGGAATTAGCTCAGTGGTTCCACCTCCTGCCTCACAAGCACAAGGACCTGAGTTCAATCTGTGGTACCAAAAAACAAAAACAAAAACAAAAAAACCTTTTGTACACCGATTTCTTTGAGATGGCATTTGGAGAGAGTCTGACCACTTTCCCAATCAATTGAGCTTATTATAAATAAGCCATATTTCCTTCCCACTAATCCTAACCCCCAAATAAGAGCAGTAGTATAGCAGGCAGAACCAAACTTTGAAAGGTACCAAAAACACACGGTGAAGTAGCACATGCTTATAATCCCAGTGACTCAGGAGGTAGATGCAAGAGGATCTCAAGTTCAAGGCCAGTATGGGCAACTTAAGAAGACCATGTCTCAAAATAAAAAGGGCTGAGGGTGTACCTCAGTAGCAGAGCACTTGCCTAGCATTACACCAGCCCTGGGATCAATCCCCAGTACAAACAACCATACCACATTATAATAAACCCATTCAACTTTATTTATTTTGGCTTTTTGAGACAGGGTCTTACTATGTAGTTCAGGCTGGCCTTGAACTCACTATGTAGCCATGCTGGAAGGCACTCCTGATCTTCCTGCCTCAGCCTTCAAAGTGTTCACCAACATGATTGGCTCTGTCTGACTTTTAAGGAAAAAAATCTAGAGTCCTGAGGCAAAGAGGACAAATAACAGGTAAGGGGAAAGAATCAGACTCATTCTCCAGGTTCCACCTCTATTAACTCCCACCAAGCCAGCTCACACAAATACACCGGAAGTATGAGGAGACCAGTAGCAATCACCTCAGCTGCAGAAGTTGTGTCATGTGGGCATGGGGGGCAATCTGCTCCTCACCACCCCCAACAGCAGCATCCTTATGGCAGTGGGCTACTGGGCAGCTCAGGGCCCCAGGAGAGGCCAGGGAAGGAGCTGGACACCCAGGGCCACCAGAGGAGGGCAGAACTCAAGGAATGGAGAAACAGAGGAAGCACCACAAGGTGCCCTCTAAAAGCCCAGAACACTTGCTGATCCTGAACTACACATGCATGAGCCAAACACTGGCCTCAAGTGAGGCACAAGGAACAACCTAGTGCCCTCTGACCTGGGATCCCAAAGACAGTTAACTGCCTGCTAAAACAAGAACAGCCACACTCCACAAGCACAGAGGAACCCAGAATCTATAGAGTGAAAGGAAAGGTTGGAGGTATAGCTCTCTGGGGTTCATGCCCAGCATGGGGCTGGAGCACGGGCTCCGATGTGACACAGCATTGAGACAAATCAAATCCCCAAAAGGTACATTACACATGCGGGACCAGTGAGCTGCCTGGCCTGGCCTGGCCTACCACTACAATTAGTTAGCAAGGTTTATTACAACATAGCCACACTCACATTTTTATTTATTTTCTGTGGCTCCCTTCACACCACAAGAGAATTGAGTAGCTGAATAGAGTACCTATGGCAACTCATTACGTACATGCAAATGTTCCAAAACACAAACTTCTGATCTCAAACACTTCCCGTAAGAGAAATATGTCTTCTATTAAAAAAACAAAAAAACAATCAATAGTCTAATCTTCCACCTTCAGAAACCAAAGTGCAAACTGACCCCAAAGCAAGCGGAAGAAAGTCATAATAGAGATTAAATAGTAGAAATCGATAAAAATCAATAAAAGGGTCTTCAAATGATCAAAACTGACAAGTCTTTAGCTAGGCTGACCAAGCCAGAGGGAAAAGGGTGACTAAAGTCAGGCAAGAATTCTACTGACCTCACAGAAGTAACCAGTAGAGAGAGCTATGACTGAGTGCAGGCCAACAGACACCCTAGATGCCCTCACAAACTTAGACGCAAACACTGAACCCAACTGAGGTTCCAGAGGAAGTGAGACATCTAAACAGACCTTAAAAGTGGATGGAACTAACAATAAGAACACAAAAGAAAGCCAGGAGGAGATGGCACCACTGGTGAATTCTACCAAATGTTCAAAGCAAAAAATAATACAGCAATCCTTTCCAACTCTTCAAAAACTGAAGAACACATCTCGGTAATGAGAACACTGCCCCCAATACCAAATCAGACAAAGTCATCAAAGAAAAACTAGACCAGTATCTCTTATGAACACAGATGGAATGTACATGAAAATACTGGCAAAAGAAGGTACACAAATAACCAAAGAGTGTATGAACAAGCCCAGAGTGCTGACATATGCCTACAATCCGACCACTGTGGGAGGCTGAGTCAGGAGGATTACAAGTTTGAGCCCAGCCTGGGCAATTTCATGAGACCTTGACTCAAAAATAATAAAGGGATGGGATATAGCTCAGTACAAAGGCCCTGCGTTCAATCCCAGGTACCCTTGTGACCACCACCCTCTGGATTAGAGGAACTCTGCAGGAGGTTTTGAGTTTGGGACATGAATCCTGCAACCTCGTTTTTCTTTTGCAAGATGGCTTAGCATTGTGAATTTTAGGATAAACCTGTTCCTTTCTTTAAAAAAAAACAAACAAGGGTAAACAAAGAACCTAGAGTCCAAACATAACTGGGCACACCTGTGGCCAAGCAATGTCCAACTGAAGCACCAAGACCCCAGATGAGAATAGACTACAATCTTTGCAGCATGCAGTGCTGGGACAACCAGCTGGCCACAAGCAAACCAGCCATGGCGGGCCCTGGCCTACACACCAAGGTCTACGCAAAGGGGCCATAGGCCTAAATGTGAGAGAGAAGTCTGTGAAGTCTGATGAGAGAACCCAGGTATAAATCTTTGTGCCCCAGATGAAATTTCTTCAGAATGACATTTAAAGCTCAAGCAACAAAAAGACAGATGACTTGGATTTAATTAAAAGTAAAAACTAGCTGGACATGGTGGCGCATGCCGGTAATCCCAGCACTCAGGAGGCTGAGGTAGGAGGATTGCTGTGAGTTCGAGACCAGCCTGGGCTACATAGTGAGTTCCAGGTCAGTCTCAACTACATAGTGAGACCCTGTCTCAAAAAAAAAACCCCACAAACTAACAAATAAACAAACAAACAACAACAACAACAAAGTAAAAACTTCTGTACTTCAAAGAATGGTATCAAGAAAGTGAAAAGGTAACTCACCAGGAAAAATGTTTGCAAGTAATATGTGCACCAAAAGTCTTATATAGAGTATACAAAGAACTTTCATAACCACACCAAGAAGTAACCCATCTTTAAGATAGACCAATATATCTGACCAGATGTTTCAGCAAAGAAAATACACAAATAGCCAAGAAAACAATTCAAAGCTGCTCAACATCATTAGTCATTAGGGAAATACAAATGAGAACTACAGCAAGACCCCACTGCACACTGATTATGAAGGCTTTAGTCAAAACGAGCCCTAACAAGGGTTGGGGAGGATGCTGAGCAGTGAGATCCCACGCGCATCACTGCTGGGACGCCACTGGCACAGCCACCATGGAAGGGCTCAGCGTTCCTCCAAAAGCCTGTTGTGGAGAGGCCTCCTGAGGATCAGGTGGGACTCCCACCCACCCCTGCGCCTCCAGCAGGGGGAGGGGAGGCAGCGCATCCAGGCTGCTGAGCGCACACAGGAACCAGGAGGGCACAGAGCTTCATACACACCACTCCCCATCTTGCACCTCATCCATGTGGGGGCTGCAGGAGACGCCCTTCACAACGCCATCCAAAGGGAAGGAAAGCGTTTCCCTTTTCCAGCAGATGACCAGACCCAAGGAGGGGCCTGAGGAACTAACTTTCAGCTGGGGCAGATGTGGCAGAGGCCTGGACTTGCAGTCTATCAAAATGGGACCGAACTGTGGGGCAGCAAGCTGTGGTACAGCAAGCTGAAGATTTGCCTGGCTGGGAAAAATCCACATATCTAGTATCAGAATGCTGGAGTATAGAGATCAGCATTTTCCCATTATAGAAAGTCTACTAACTTCAGAAAACTAACAGTAGCCCTCACCGTCAGCAGTCTGCTGCTGTTCCTCAGTCTCTTCCACAACTTAAAACCCAGGAGTGCTCAGTTCCAAAACCCCTGTATGCCTCCACATACAGTCAGTAGGAAGCATCATATCTGCTTTCTGCCTTTAAATAAATCTGTGCTTGGCAATCCCCACATTTCTAACTCCAACATCTACGCCCTGCCGGCCTCCCCTTGACATTCGGTATGTACGAGCAGAAGTGAGTTCCCCCAGCCCAGTCTGCAGGAAGCTTCCCAGTCTCAGTTCCCGGGAAAATCACCCCCTGCTTCCTTAAACCCTTGGGGAATCTGGTCTGACATCACTTTCAAAACCACAGCCTGACCTGACCTGACCAATCCCCTCCACTGCATGGCCTCCAGCCTGGTCCAACCTGACATCCAATTGCTCCCCACCATTGCGGCCTCTGCCCTTGGCCCGCTCTCCACAAGGTACTGCTTCACGGACACTGCCTCCACGGCAGCCTGACCTCATTCTCCACCTAAACTTTCCCTAGGCCTTCTTTTGACACTTAGATTGTGTCTGCAAAATTCCTAAACTCACAGGTCTTAACCCCCAGGACCTCAGAGTGTAACTGTATTTGGAGAGATAAGTGAGGCAAAATGAAGTCACTGGTGTGGGCCCTAATCCATCAGAATCAACATCTTTATCTGAAGAGGAGATTAGGACACAAACAGAGGGAGGACCCTCTGAGGACAGCCGAGGGACAGTCTCAGGAGAAACCGGGTTCACTGTGGATTCCTGCTGTCGGCCCCAATCCTGGGCCCAGTGTACGACAGCAGGAGCTGACCTGTGCACTCTTACTATCTCCTGCACACACCCAGGCCCCAGTCCATGTCATCTGCCATCTGGGCCGAATCAGGTACTGTATTACATCTACTTCTCAACGGCACACACTAAGCCCAGGAGACTTTAAATTACTTGCCCAATAAGAGGAAGAGAAAAGATGGACATCAAGCCTTTTCTGGTTCTATGATCAATGCAAAATATCAATACTAGATTTTTACCATTACTAAGTAACTCCAGGAAAAAATAAGACAGCTACTTACTTTTCAACCCAGAGCACTGAAACAAGCTTTGTCCCCCTTTTCTGGGCCTTGTCCCAAGTGCTCTGGTATCCATCTTTGAAGACAACGTGAGTGACTTGTTTGTTAAAAGTTTTTGAAACCTGTAGAAAACAAAATATACATTAATATTTACGCATAGATTCTTACATTAGATTCTTACATATAATTGGTCAAAAAAAGGGATCCTTCATTCGGTATATATATGTCACACCAAATGTTTAAAATCCCTAACCCAGCATTCCATGTCTCAGAATCCATCAAAGAAATACTCTGGCAAATGTGTAACACTGCTAAAAACATTTCTGCGCCAGTTTCTCCCGTTTTTGTTTCTTTGTTTTATGAGTGTATGTTTGTTATCTATAATAATTACATTCATCCTGGACCTGCTCCAGTTTGGTCAGGGGTATTGTGCCTCGTTCTTACTTCCACTCTTCCTGGAAAAGCTCAAAGTGGGATGAAAAGAACAGAATCACGGGCTGGGGATTTAGGTCAGTGGTGCTGCCACCTGCCTTGCAAGCACAAGGTCCCAAGTTCAATCCCAGGTACCAGCCCCATGAGGAAAAAGAGAACAGAAGAAAAGTGGACAAGAGGAGCCACATGTTTAGCAGCTGGAAAGAGAAGGAGCAAGTCAGACAACTAAAGATACTTAAGCAAAGCTCTCCACTCCGAGAACACAAAACCCCAAGGAAACAGACAACAAAGGAAACACATAGCTTGTTAAAAGTGCTTAAGGTGGGGCGTGGCAGCACATGCCTGTAATCCCAGCACTTGGGAGGCTGAGGCAGGAGGATCACTGTGAGTTCGAGACCAGCCTGGGCTACACAGTGAGTTCCAGGTCCGTCTCAACAACATAGTGAGACCCTGTCTCAAAAAATCAAAAAACAAAACAAATAAATAAAAGTGCTTAAAATGAGCATGGTAGTGCATGCCTGTAACCGCAGCACTCAGCAGACTCAACTGAAGCAGGAGGGATCTTGGTGAATTTGAGGCCAGCCTAGCCTACACAGGGAACTCAAGGCCAGTCTGGACTACACATCAAGACCCTGTCTCACAAAAAACAAACAAACAAACAAACAAACAAAAAAAGGTGCTGTGGTGATATGATCAGATGATTTTCAAAAGGATCAGAAATCTAAACAGCTGCTGGAAATTAAAATACGACGTAAGTGAAAAACAAAATCTACAGAAATGTCAGACAATGAAGTTGAGAAAATCTCCCTGGCCTGGAGCACAAATGGGAAGGAAGAAAGGGAAAACATGGGACACAGAAACTCAGACCAGCAGCTGAGGAACAGGGCTGAAGGAATGCAGGAACAGGGAAAATGAACAAGAACTGCAAGAGAAATGATTACAGAAAACTTTCTCAAACTAAAGGACATGCGTTCTGAATTAACCCTCCCACCCACCAAGGGCCCAGCACGAGCATGCAAACAGTGCCACACCAAGCCTGTCACCATGAAGCTTCAGTATGACCAGAATTTAAAAAATACTAAAGTGGTAGGAAGTGGAGGTAATGAGCCAAGGCCAAATAATGAGAAATAACAATCAAACCAGGCAGGGCCAGGGATTTAGCTCAGTGGTTCTGCTGTCTGCCTGGCAAGACAAACACTCAAACCAGACACAACGTTCTTCTACACTTGCTTTTCACTCCTGACATTTTTCCCTATCTCCGTTGTCGGCTCCCTGGTCCCATCCTTGCCCTCAATCCTTAATAGGCTTCGTCTATCAGTCTTCCTGCTAAGCGCCCAGCAGGGACCAAGAGGGATGGATATTCACAGTCTCCTCTGAGCCAAAGTCCTGACCCCACATCTAATAGTCCAGCCCTGACCACCTCGGGTTCCAGATTTGTCTACCCAAAAGTCCAGGCGTTTCCAACACACCCACAGAGCCTTTCCCTTAGAAACCTGCCTCTGGGCTCCTTGATGTAATTAAGAGCTGGCTACATAATTGGACAGAATCTGGTTTTCATCCTAGATTCTTCCTCTCACCCAATTCCTACAAGACCAACCGCTCTGTAAGTACCACAGCTCTCAATTCTTCAGACTTGAGTTTTATTTCCCACCACTTCCTTACCCAAGACCACGCCCTTCTTTTTCTAATTAATAATGCCTCCCAAAAGAAGACAGAAATGTATCTCTCTACGTACCAGAAGACTGTCCTATGTACCAATATTAAAAGGAATTTCTTACCTTTGCCCCCATATCCATAAGCTGGTTTGTAAATGTCTTTGAATAATTTTCTGTCCCATTGGAAGACCACACTTCAACATAGGCCACTACATCTGAAAACAGGATATTAGCATGAAATACACACGCGTAATCCCAGCATCCCTTGCCCAAAGGGTTTTTCTCTCGTTCTGTTCATATTAAAAAATAAATATAATATTTCTAATAAAAACTTATTCAAAAGCGCACCACTGCTATTCATGGTACATAAAATTTTAAACAAAGAACAACTTTACTTACTCACACGCATCCTGGTTTATAATCCTAACACTTAATACCCTTCCCTAATATACTACACAAAGTTTATTCCAGTGCAGACTTTCTATAAAGGGACAATAAATAGTTCAGGCTTCACGGGCTAGATCAGCCAACTTCACAGGCAGGGCAAAAAGCGCAGCCAGAGGCAGTAAGTGAACGAGCCAGCACAGTTATGTTGTAGTAAAACTTTACGGAGAAGTTGGACCGAAGTTGAGCTTGTCGGTCTTCAACTTCTTTAACAGTGGAAACGGCACTCTTAGCTCTCTGGCCCTACAACAACAGGCTGCAGACCGGCCCGGCCCGGCCCCGCCTGGAGCAGCGAGTAGGCCCTCTGGGCTGAGGCTTCTAAAACCTCGCGGTCTAGGAGGCTCTTCCGGGCTGGGAAACCCGGAACGGGCGGCCTCGGGGTTAGAACGTTCCGCCCGCTCCCTCGCGGAGTTCGGGCCCGCCACGCACTCCGGCGCGGGGCCGGAAGTCCCCTCACCTCTCAGCACCGCGG